AACCGGTGATATGGTATAGACAAGCACCTTCACTCCCCGCGCGTGCGCAAAACGCCTAGTAAGCAACTACTGTAAGCTCGACACCCAGCCCAACAACTCCTCCGTTACCCCACCAGCTCTTTTGTCTCGCCATCGCCATGCACCACGTCGTCCGTTTGAGTGCGCCAGAGCGAAGCCGGTTCGAGCCAGGCACGCTCCCGCTTCACCTCCTCACTCCGCCGCCGTGGTTGGTGTCGGGGCGCAGCGCTCCCGGTAGCACTGCGCCCCCCGAGTTCAGACGGGATGTGAACCATTTGCCACGACCGGAAAAAAAAACCCTTAAAAAGCAATGAACCTCCCCAGTAGGAAATCGAATTTGAAAGTGGGTGTTGGACGTCACGGCGGCAACGGGGGCCAGGCGGCGTCGATATCCGCGATGATGGAAACAGGCATTTGCAGTGGCGCAGTGGAGTCCTCGTACGTCGTCACAAATTTGTGAGCACCCTGCGAAGGTTCATCGCCATCGCCTCTGCATGTCGCCGCGCCTACATGTCAAGTCGAGCACACGCGGGGAACGCCGTCGCCGGGGACTTGGCGCTGAGGTTACCGTGGTTGTGGTGAGTTGGTAGGCTGTTGTATTTTCATGGTTCATGAGCATTGCAGCACACGTGCCAATGGAGGGCGACAGCGATGACAGACGTGCGAAGTTGACGACAATCAAGAAGACGGCCGTGGCGATGGGCGTGATGGCCGTGCTCTTTCGTCGTCAGCAGCAGAGTGTATTGGGTAGAATGAGAGCGCAGATCCGCCCACGGAGGAGGAAAACGCTTCATCAAGTTCCGGTCGAAGGGTTGGATACCGTGGCAATCACGGAGGCTGCAGTTCAGGTTTGTTGCGCCATGGGTTGCAGTGTTCTTCCACGAGCCACGCCGAGGTGGTGGTTGAAAAGGAGGACAGGGGGGGCATGGGAGCACTGGGAGGATCTCAGGCAATTCGATGAATCGGATGCGACAGAGGGGTACTTCTAGGAGAAGCTGCGTATGTCACCATGTTTCTTTTGGGCGATGGCGATTGCATCCAGTGTGGATGAATGCCCGCGGGATGCACTGCCGATGTTGATGTCGAGTGCAATCGGTGTTGATCCCTTATATGCTCTGCTGGAGGCCTTCGATAGAGGTTGGCCATCAACTATAAAGGAAGCAAACATGGAACGGGAGGACCACGACAAGCAAAATTGTGACTAGGAGCAGCAGTGGCAACCTTCAATAGAGGTCGGCCATCACCAACACGTATGACAGGGCCGTAATTCTACGACGACGATGAACGTCTACCGAACGGCGACGATGAAGGGAACAGCCAGTAGAGGACAGTATATGACACACACACTCTAACGGGTCGTACGCCCTTGCACTACGAGCCGGCCTACGAGGTGGCTTCTGGAGTGGTCCATTGAAGACCTGCTCTTCGCCTGCCGTCCGTCCATGCTGATGTCCTTCTTCGCAGACCACCTCTTACGTGTATGTCCAGGCACCTTGCCGAGGATGTAGACGTGGAAGAAGACGACAAGGACAAGCAAAAGGATGACCAGACGTGGAAGAAGATAACAAGGACAAGCAAAAGGATGACCAGGAGCAGCAGCGACAACCTTCGAAAGACGTCGGCCATGAAAGGCAAGTGGGGAAGGGCAGTAGCTAGACGACGACGATATACCTCCAACAAACAGCGACGAAGAGGGCTGCAAACGACAGACCCTTGCATGGGACAAATGCCTTGTAGCATTTTTCGTCGCGGAATACGGTGGGCAATCAGAGCAAGGGGGGTCCGCTGAAGTATTCAAATTTGCCGACCGTTCGGCCCCTTTCCGTTTGGCGGTACGCACTGGGAGAACACTGGTAGATGATGTCCGTGGGGGCCGGCCGACCACCAACGATTAAGGTTCCTAGAAGCCGAACGTTGAAGACCCAAGATGTTCGTGCGCTGCTCGGTAGGAACTCCAATGGACCAACCGACGAAAATTTCTTGCCGACGACGGGTGCCGTCGACACTCCGAGTATTGCGGATCCTTGACCTCCAAGGGACCTCGGGAGGTCCCTTGTCCCTTGGGGAATGCCACCAATTGGCTGTAGCCCGAGGACGCCCCAAGGATTCCCCAAGGAAATGTTATCACTTTTTTTTTTCGTTTTCATCCCCAAGGATAGGTGGAACGAAATTTTCCTCAGGGGGATTTACTCGCCCGATGAGTGTCTTACGAGCCCCATTGTCAATAACGAGTCATTGAATGATCTTACATTGTACACAGAGCAATCAGCATACACTGACACCAACATCAACAGGTTGCGGTTTGACACCGGCATCATTCGTCATCATCATCAGGGTGCTGCTCGTCATCACCGTCATCATCAACAGGGCGTGTTTCGGCATCATCATCACGGTAAGGGTTTGTCGTCAGCATCACGCGTCATCACATCGTCAGGCGGCATCACCATCATCATCATCAGGGTGCGGTTTGACACCGTCATCATTCATCAACATTATCAGGGTGCTGCTCGTCATCATCGTCACTATCACCGTCATCATCAGCAGGGTGTGGTTCGGCAGCAGCAACAGGGTGTAGTTCGACAGCAGCATCACGGTAATGGTTCGTCGTCAGCATCAGGCGTCATCATCATCGTCAGGCGTCATCACCATCATCATCATAAGGGTGCTGCTCATCACCAACATCAAGGTATGGGTGATCATCATCATCATCATCTTGTCTTCATAGGGCGCCGCTGAGGTTGCTCGTCATCATCATCATCATTGCCATAACGGCAATATCATTGCCATCATCAATACCTCACTCTCATAAGGCGCCGTTGGCGAAGCTTGTTCACCATAGGGCGTTGCTTACCCCTATCATCATCATTACTAGGTTATTATCCAAGGTGTTCGTCATTTGCACCATCATTATCCTTTTGTCATCACAGGGCGCTGGGCGGCGGCGTCATCATCATCATCATCATCAGCAGCAGCAGCAGCAGCAGCATCATCATCATCATTATCATCATCATTGACATCAACAACATCATCAACATCATCATTATCATCATCAGCATCATCAATTTGCAATCATAGGGTGCTGTTGGTACTGTTCTTCGGTACGATCAGCATCATCATTCCGTCATAACTATCATCATCATCGTTTTGTCATCATTAGGTGTTGCGGTTCAAGGCCTTGTTTGTCTCTCACATCAGCAGGTGAGTTTGGTCGTCATCAACACGTCATCATCTTCAGGATGATGTTTATCACCATCTGCAAATCCAAAAAAAAAAAAACTCTCATTTACCTCTCTCTCCATCAAAATTTGTAGAAATTTCCAGTTCTGCCATATATTTTAGAGATTCGATCTGATGGATGTGCTTCAGTCGGGATAGGGCTTCTGTGGTCACGGTTGGGACTCTTGGGGGAAGGGTGGGGGTGGTATTGGGGAGCCTTACTCTACAGGGGCGCTGCAAGGTGGGAGGTGGCTGCCCTGTCGGGGGTGGGGCAGATTTGTGGTTTGTCCTTGTCTAGGGCCGGGGTGGGAGAGTTGGTCGCCTTAAACCCCGGCGGGGGCAGATAGGGACAAGGGCGAAGGTATCCTCTAGGAGGGAATTGGCTGCCTTTGCGGAAAGGGGGGAGGAGGGGGTCTGTTCCAGGTTGGGGCCGAGGAGGTTTTCCTTGGCGGTGGCAGCATGGGACAGTGGGAAGGGGGAAGTTTCTCTGTGCGGTGACTTTTGGAAGCTTCTTGGATCGGATTTCTTCGGTTATGCCTGGTAGTTTGAAGAATTTCTCAGGTCTCTGAGGGTTGCCGGTGGGTTGTACGAAGCTGCACTGGATTTAGACTGTTATATTCAGGATTTGTGGCTGTCCATTGCCAGAACGACGCTGGCCGGAGCCGGGGCGCTGCCCTGTAGCTTGCCGAAGGTGAGGGCATGAGGCCTTGCAGAGAGATCTGGGGATGCTATGCGGGGGGCATCCTAAAGGACAGCTGGGGGTTGCTGACACAGGACGACACTGGCTGGAGCTGGAGTGAGTCGCGCTGCTCTGTAACCTAGCAGTTAGGGGGCGTGAGGCCTGGTTGAGTTTGTCAGAGAATAAGTCAGTTTCGGTGAGGCTTCTTAGGATCTGTTGGAAACCCCTTAGATACTTGAGTTTTTTGGAAAACTGCTGTGGGCTTCAGGAGGTGCTTAGAATCATTGATATAGCATAGTCTCTTTTATATACTAATCACCATCATCATCATCATCATCATCATCATCATTATCATCACCATCGGAATTACTATCTTACACTCTCCTCAGAATCACTAGAAGTCCATCATTACTAGCATCACCATCAATCATCACATGAGGGACGCTGAGCCCGGTTCTCAGCATGTTCGGTTCGGTTACTCCGGGTAGACTGTGAGGACCCCGGCCTCAATCTTCATTTGAATAAAAAAAATCTTTTTCAAAAAAAAAAAAAAAAAAAAAAAAAAGGGGTGATGTGATGTGTGGAATTGGATGGGGTGGTCTGTAGGTGTAGCTAACCTGTGCTCTTTGTGATCTTCGGGGCTCTTTAGAAACTCCTATTGAAATCCTGGGCCAAAAGGAAAAATTCCTTTTGGTTCAAAAGGAAATTTGGGCCCTTCGTTCCACCTGTCCTCGGGGACGTAGCCCGAGGACATTTCCTTCGAGCGATGTCAGAAAAGAAAAAAGAAAAGGAAAAAAAAATCAAATGTGCTTGAGGCCGTCAGCCAATAGGGTGCCGCCACGATCCAGATTCTCGTTTTTTTTTTTTTTTTTTGTTTTTTTGTAACGTCTCTCTACCCATGTGCCCTCTCCTCTCCGTGAAACGTGGATTCCTTTTGCCCAAGGGACCTCGTGGTCCCTTGGGCA